GAAAGCCAATACGCCGCCTTACTCAGTCTCAAGTGACAGTAGACTTTGCGCGGGTACTACTGTACTGTCTATCCTCACTCACCCATAGGTGTGAGGTGTGAAGACAGGCCCAAGGAGGCTGTGACTGATACGTCTACTACTGTTTCTACTACTACTGGCTATCGATGTAGCCGGGTCTTAGTATCAGTACTATCTCTGACGCTAAAATTTGTCAGAAGTGGCGTTGGTTTGAAGTAAACTCTGGGGCTCATACATCCTTGTCTCAATAAGGAGCGTTAATCTGCGTTTAAACTATTTCGAGTAAGTACATACGTTGGGCCCTGAACAGAAGAGCGTTTGCTTTGGTTTCCGCACTCTTAACTCTATCCATCGAGCTTGCACGGACTAAGATACTACGAGTGCTAGTTTCTATAACTCATGTATGGTAAGGCCAGTAGATAGTTACTACAAGTACTGCCTGAATTTGCTTCTTAAGAAGTCGCACCCAGTATGCACTCCCAATCTGTGTGAGGTAATAATGATTTGCATTTGGATTGTAATAGAGTACGTCCTACCATGTAATTTGCTGTCAATAGATTACATTTAGGCCTACAACAGTATCAGGTAGGTATAGTAGGACAGTCTAAGTCAGTGCAACAGGAATTGGGCAATATTAGCTATGCTGGTAGTAGTAGTTAAAGTGGTGGTACTAGCACATCAGAGCTTTCCTTGGTTTCTGCCCTCCCAACTCTATCCATCAGGCCGTGTCATCTTATTGTTAACGAGACCGTATTAATTAATATCGCAGGTTCTGTCATGTCACATGGTGATGCAGTAGCCTTTTGCGCTGGTACTACTTCAATATTTACCCTAACTCACACACAGTAGGTGCCGAGAAATATTCGAGGCGCCCGAGTCACCTACGTCCGACCCCGACGCCGCCTCCGGTCTTCTTGACTCCGTCCAGACGCCACGCACAGGTTGGTTAGCAACCTTCCATGATTGAAAATATTTATCCCTTGACAGCTAATAAAAAACACAGTTTAATGCAAAATTCCTAATTTCCTTATTTCAATTGTTCACGCAATAGCAGACTGACTGAAATCAATATTATTCCCCTATGTTTTAATAAGAAACTTCAGTCATCTCATTAATACTGAGGATAGAAACTTGGTCCTATCAAAAGGAGGATGAAATTCTGGAAATAAATCGAGCTACGCACCACTTCCGGTCAAGCTACGTTCTTAATGATATAATGAGATTGAACGTAAT